GTTTTGCTTCTCAAACTATTCGCGATATCACTCTCTTCAGCGTGTTACCCTACTGCCTGGAAAACTACACATATTATTCCCAAAATTAAAACAGGCCTGAAGCAAACATTGAAAACTACCGGCCTACAAACATAAATTCAATGGTATCCAGAGTTATGGAAAAAGTAGTTAAGGCCGCTGTTGTCCGACATCTACTAACTGATAATCTCAACTCGACCTCACAGCATGGATTGCTTAGGTCCAGATCATGCAATTCATGCCCTGTAGACTACCTAAATGATATAACTCTGAAACGAGACAGCGGACTCCTTGTATCAGTTCTATTCCTAGACTTTAAGAAAGCCTTTGATAAGGTCCCACACAAAAGGCTACTCGTCAAACTGTAGTCCTTTGGAATAAACAACCCACTGTATTTATGGTTTGCTTCGTTCTTAACAGAACGTAAACAGATTGTAAAGTACAATGACAGTCTCTCGTCAACTAGACCAATCACCAGTGAAGTCATCCAGGGAAGCGTATTAGGTCCACTTTTGTTTATTATGTACATAAACGATATATGTTACACCATGGAATTTGGAAAATCATACTTATATGCTGATGGTCTCAAAATAGTATACAGTTATAAGCCTGAAACACTAAGCGAAGGTGTATCTCAGATCCAAAAGGACGTCAATAACTTAACTATATGGAGTGAAAAATGGCAATTACTATTTAACTTCAACAAGTACGGGATCATGCACTTTGGAAAGCATTCCTATAAACCGCAACTTCACTTAAATGAAAGTAGAGTCCAAACACTTGAATCAGTACACGATTTAAGAACTAATTACACAGGAAACCTGAACTTTGAAGAGCATGCCTCCTCTATTATTTCTAAATCTAGACGGCTAATTGGTTTTATAATGAGAATGTTTTCACAACAGAGGCTAAGATTACCTTTCACAAAATATGTGTACGGCACCCCTTTGAATACTGCTGTTTTGTCTTCTCTAATATGAATATCACAGACAGACGAAGTCCCACACGTCAACTATTAGGATGGAGCTCGAATCTCGATTGCATAGTTAGATGCAAGCATCTATCTTTAGAATCTTTATGGCAACGTAGGGTAAAGAACAATTTAATATTTCTCTTCAAAGCGATATATGGGCTCTCCTTTATAAACTTCTGCTCGACTATGACCCACGACGCAACCTATAGACTTAGAAACAACGCATATACACTACTTACCGTAAAACATCAAAAACAAATGCGTTGTAAGTTTTTCACAGTACGCTGTAGTTTATTGTGGAACAGGCTGCTAATGTCTATCCGTAACTGTGATACGTTTATCAGATTCGAAAAGCTATAACCTAATTTCTACACTACAAAGAGCTTCAACATTTCTTTGAACTCCCGCCCACCAATGAGGCACTTTATGACGGACCGCCTAGTATCTAGAAAGAACAAGATTATAACAAGTTCGACTGTTTCTAATATGAATATAACCAAATCACAGAATATATGGCTCATCCTTTCTTATTATTCATCGTTTATTAATCATGGCCTTATGCTCCTAATCCTAGCTTTCAGTTCCCAAATCTCTAACGGTTAAATGTACATTATTCTTTGTAAGAGCCATGCTTTTTTTAATACTGCAAGTAGACATATAGCTTAATATTACTAATGCTGATCTACTAAAGCCGATAATGGAAAGCTCGAAAATTGGCCACAAAGTCTTGTGAGTTTCTTAATGTTTTATTTGTCTTACCCTGAAATTCTTTTATTTCTATAATTTTATACCCTCTCAAATTCTTTGATTTGCTATAAGTTCTTACTTCTTTAAACCGTTAGTGATTTTCATAGCAGTGTGATGTACTTTGTGGACATCTAACCCATAAAACAGGCTTTTTAAGTATTTAAATTGTTTGTAACACGGACATAGTGGAGACAGTGTATTCCAACCATGGGCTTTGATTAAAGCAGTATTCATACTTACCACAAACGAAAGAGAGCCTAACATCACAAAAGGAGGGAGGGTGGCGTTACTGACCAGCAAACATGATGATGGGGAGATAACTTCAATCCACCCACGTCTGTAGGGCAGAACATTTTCTTTAATTGCGGCTCCTTATGATTAAATGAAATTTCACGAACTCAGGGTTTTAATGCTGATTTATCGTGCAAAATATCTCAATAAATCGTGTTAAGAACGTTGAATTGGTTTCACTTCCTACCCAGTAATCCTACAACAAGCAAACAAGACAATTCGCTAATACATGAAGCCTACACAAGACACCATGATACCTGAAAAAAATAGTACAAAAAAATGAAAAGGGATCTAATAGCTTCGATAAAAAAGGAAGATAGACGATTGCATATCACAATAATGTTTCTAGCACTATGTTTTATTTTATGACCGCAAATAAACCCATACTCTCAGCTCCTTTCTGAATCGCCTCCATTTGTCAGTTGTATGTCCACTCATACCCTGTTTACACTCATTCTGTTTAACCTTAATAAAATGCTCTTTCTTAACAAATACCTTAGTAAATGATAATTAGTCTGAGTAATCATATTTTGGTCCACCAGGGTTCTTGGTACCTGTGTGGTTGCGCCACCGGTTTGAGCTGTACTATTCAGATTGTAGCGTACGGTGCCTGGTTCCCCTGCTAAACGGGGTTGAGCTGTACTGTTCGGGTTTTTACGTGAAGGACCGGATGGTGTCTGATTCTTTTGAAAACCAATGTAAAATTACCCTGGCCTACAAGGGTATATTATATCATTACTGTGAATCATATTTTAAACATTTCTTCATGTATTTTGGCTACTCTGTCTACTGTCTTTTCTTTTACTTGCTCCCTCTTTCAGCCCCCTTGTGATATGGAACAAAAGATTTCATCCTGCACCATCCTCAAAGCCTTAAATATTCCAAAGGTACATAAGTTTGCGACATTTAGAAGCTCCAACTTTTAATGGATCTATACTTGACCATCAATTGCACATTCGCAATGTGACTTACCTGAAGCGCGCCAACTGTGGTACTGATTAAAACCATCTACATTCATATCTTATAAATTATCAACTCAGCTATGTAATTCAATTTAGTGGATATTGTGTCATTTTTATCAATTTGATCTTGTCTGTAAAATGGCATGACTCATGTAACTAACTGTTATTTGAGAATAATTTATTATAAATTTTATTATCAATGAATCCGGCTAAACACAATGCGTGTAAAATTGTTTGCTTACTGCTGATTTTGAACGATTCCGAAGTCTGAAATTCATGTTCATCATTACTCATTATATTTTGGCTTACGGTCTGTTTGAACAGACAGTGCATTTTCATATTTATTCATCGATATGCAGTCGCTTTATTTAACTATCATTCTTTTTATAATCGCTGTTTACATGATGACTGAATTTAATTGACATTTCTTATTACGTGTCAACTATAGTTGTGCACTATTCACACCTAGATTTCAACAAACAGATTTCGAATTATGTCAAGTTTGTTTTTAAACGCTATTTAGATCAAAATATGACAGAACACCTACCATAATACACATCAAAAACAAAATCAAACAAATGTACGTAATGAAGACAGATTTTCGCATATGCCTTCGACAACTGTAATGAGACTAAATAAATTGCACGAAATTGAATGAAGACACCAACAACCTAATAGATAAATCAACAAACTCTTTCAAATCGATCTATGTTATTCAAATACATTGAAAACTTAAAACAAAGAGGCAGAATTAATTCATAACATTGAACTACATAACTACAGAGAGCAATAAAACTTAAGAAGTTAACAACACTAGTCTTTGTCTGTATGAATTTGAAGTGACTATCTAGCGCCAAGATTATTAGTAGCTCATTTAAGTGAAAGTCATCAGAATTTGACACTTGTTCAAAATGATAAAAGTTGATATGTTAGACAAAACATATACAAGAATGATAACCCGATTTTCAAAAAGCTGACAATCAATAATTTAGAGGTCACTGATTATACTGTCATTGGTACAATTTGTCAAACAGTAGCGTCAGATCGAAAGGGGAAACAAGTTAAAATTAGGTTCAACGAAAAACAATGAGTATCGAGGTCGAAAGATACTATATGCTACTAATTAGCGAATTCACCTTCTATGCCTACCTATAGCTGGAATTAGACCGCTTGATGTTCTTTAGAGGAGGATTCAAAACTATTCAGCTCAAACGGTATCAGACTAGCAAAACCCAACCTTTTTGATGAGAATAAAAGTTATAATTCGATTGATTTAATATTAATAAGGCTTGTTCAACATCACTTCCTTTGTGATTCAATATGATGATCACTCAGTGAAGTACTTGTTTATTTTTCTCGTATGATATTTCATTCTGTATAATATACGATACTCTTGTATTCAATGAACGTGAATTATGCTCAGTATGTGATTCGTTATAATTGAGTATTTTTAATATATGTGATTTCATCCTAATTATTATTCAACTGTGTGTACAATTAATCCATGATGTGGTTGTATTTTCGATTAAGATCGTCGAAACCGTCTGATATAACATTCCTTTTACTAGTCTTCTGTCTTCTTATTTCAACTTGGTAGGGTTCTAGCGTTCTAGTTCTCAAATTTATACTCGGTGTCATAGTCACGATAGGTATATGTAGTTGGAAAAAAAGATCGTTCAACAAATCCTTCCAGTCAGTTTGTTTTGTTTGTGCTTCAAATGCAATCGGAATGTTTTTCATTGTCCATTACCAGTTTTAAAAATATCCACAATCCACGAATTTGATTGAACAGTCAAACGTATATTTAACAGAACATGTATTATAAACAACAAAGTAGTTTACAATAATCTTCAAGATATGTGACCTGAATATCCGTAAAATAATTAAAAGATTCAATGGAATACCATCCATTCAACTTGTCCAATCATTGTCTCATTCGGTTTTCCACTTTTCCATTTACAATCGTAGATTAAATTTAAAAATAGCTCTGAATCTATGCTAAGCAGGAAATATTCATAAAACAATACGAATATGGTGTACATTTTTGAAAACTGACCACGGTGTATGCTCAGAATATCTGTTGTTAATATAATCACCTGTAATTATGAAAACGTATATGATTATTTCATTATCGATGCATTCATATCAACACAAGAATCGGTGAAATAATGGATTTCTACTTATATATAGGTAAGAACTTAGTATTTTCTCAACATTCACACATAAGAAATGAATAGCAAGTTTTTGGTATTTTGATCTGTTAACTATTGACAGATGATCATTTGTATAAGTTGATCATCATATGAATTGAGCCACTGAACTACTCATAGTCTCTCTTTCTGACATTTGGCTACAGATCTCGTAATATTTTCTTCGAAATGTTTCATGATGAATTCCTGCGAATGCTGTGGGCAGAAAACACTAATGCATCAAAGTACTAATTTTTATAGAACGCTGAATATTTATCAATGGACGGTTATTAGTATTAACATTTATATATTTATTCAGAACTTACAATAAACATAACGCAGCACCAACAAATCAAGGCGTCACCTTGTAGAACATGCTAGAATGAAGAAAAGAAATAATTCACCTCAGTTCATCATGAATCAACATAAGTATCAGTGAAGAAACAGTAATACCTAACTAGTTAGCTCTACCGATTTTAAAGTAATATGTCGCACTTCATGTATGAGATCAGTCAGTCAGTCAGCTTTTCTGAATTTTGAAATCATTGACACACCCCCTCTGGTGCCTGGTAGGTGTCTTAGCAACGAACACGTTTCTCCAAGGACTGTATCATGAAATCTTCATGTATGTGAAACCGTTGCATGAACATCTGTTGTTCTGTTTTTTCTGTAATTACCATTTTGTTACAGAATCATAACATAGAGATAGTACTGAGAATCAATTTTTCAAACGGTAACATTATTTCATAATGCTTTGCATCAACAACATGCAGTGTTATCTTGACATCCGGTTTCAATCCATGTGTGAATAAACATTCATGCTTTGGAAAATAAAGATTTGTTTGAAATATTCCTCAATGAATTATTGATTGCAAATGTATTTCTACTGAGGTGTAGGAAACATTTCGTCGTATTCGTGATCAGCGGATTTTATTAGCAGGGATCATGCTATTAGAGGAAACCATTGAAAAATGAATAATATTCATTATTCACTAGTACTTTCTGGAAAATCATGATGAGATCGACTTACGTCTAGGAATATCTGCCCGATAAAAAGGAGAATTAATCCAATTCCTATAAGTACAAAAAATATGATCAACAATATCGTCTTGAATTTCTTTTCTAAATCTTTTAGCTTTATACCCATAAGAATGGCTAAAGTGTTGAACGCGGTAGCCGCAGGTAATGAAATTAATAGTTCATACCATTTTGCACATGAAACGAATAATCCTAAGCCAACAATCATAATTATCATCTGAAAATAAAAACATTAGTTTCGAGTTACCGCTGATTCGGACGTTGAACCGGATAACAACTAGAGAAATAATGAAAGAAAAATCTTCACTCTGCTTTATTCAAATAAAATGCATCAAACTGAATTTTTATGGATACAAGCACATAAGTAAAAATCCCTTCGCCAGTTGATCATAATGAAAATCTTTAAATAGTTTCAAAGCTAATTTGCTCGTCTAATACACGCGACTACATTTTGTGAGATTTATCGCCTGAAGGATGTGAATAAAAACAACTTGAGTAAATGAAGAAGTACAACAGCTAGTAATGTTTGCTAATCGAAGCACTTAATAATGATTCGTGTATCATAGAACAAAATTTCAGTGATATACAGAATGTGTACATGAGTATACATATTAAATTGACAGGAATCCAATTTCTTTAGTCATTCTGTATTGACAACCAATTCCGTATCTTACAAATTGTTAAAACAGCAAACTTGGATGAAAGTAAAATGTAATAGTATCACGTGCATCCACGTCCTAGTCAGTTTTTGATGAATGTTTATATTGATATCCATTTTTAAACTAGCTCGACAACATTTTTATTATTGAAAAATGAAAACTACACAAAATTCAGTCGATAGTTTGATGGCAATATCATCAATATAATTTTAAACCATATTCAACTGACGGTTATAACAATAAAGAAACTGTTCTTCATAGATGTAGAATGCAGTTTTCTAATGAATATTATTACTAATCCAAGAAATAATCCAATAAATCTAAAAAAACATAAGAAAAAGTTTTACAGCATACTAAAATTACGGAAACATTACACCACAATAGTCTGCATCAAATATTCTACATAATCTGTATACATGAAATGGTTGAACAAGTTCCTCAACTCCTCAATTAAATAACATGTAAAGTTTGTAAAAGGTGTCCAAATAATCGATAAGCGGCATACTTAATCAGTGGTCGTCTTAAATATCTTATTCCATCTTTAAAATGACCTGCTTCTCCCGGAATAGGGAGTATGTGCTCTTTTTCTCGAAATGCACTCTCATAGACACGCGTATACAGCCAATGCCAGAAACCTCTTACTCACTACTCTCTCCTGGCGAGGTTTCTTTTACGAAATTGAGATGACGAAGAGCGAACTTCCAGTGCTTTAGTTGGGTTGGTGGAAACGGAGAGAAAACATAGGTGGGTTGGAAAATACTGATTCCAAACCAATAATTCACTTGGGTTCCAGGATCTCCAAAGGATATTTGGCGTATGGATCCGTTATCAGTCACTGGCTATCACAGGACTGTATCTTTTCACGTTGGTCTACTGCCTTGTGGATCCAAATGTTTGCTCGAGAGCTCCGAGCGTCACTCTAAGAAAGCTGCTTGTTTTGGTCTGAGCGCACGAGCAGTATGACAGCCAACACACAAATCAAATGACTTGTGTGGCATCTATGTATTCGATAGACCTTTTTTCAATAGTCGTGTGTTGAAATAAAAATAAAAATACACTTCCGCATGATCACTTGCTATGATGTGATTCAACTCAGGATGACAATGCTATGCACTGAGATGAAATGAACTTTTTTTTCTTCCTCAACCATATTATTCTTGTCAAACAAGGATCACGTTTCTTATCGCACTGTATTATTCAGTTCACTGAGTACTACGTTATAGTAATACATGAAAAATCGAAGTAAACATTTTAGGGTAACACCTGTATTTAAAACATAGTTTACTTACATTATTATGAGACCACTGAGAACAACTGGATCTGTTTTATAAATAAAGCTGAATTTGTCAAATGGAATGATAAATGTCTTACCAGTAAGTAACATTTATCTGGCAAGTTTTATTTGACACATTGCCAGAACTTTGGAAGCGGAATTTGTCAGTGAAATGATAAATGTCTTACATAGAAGTAAAATTTTCCCGACAGTTTTCGTTTGATACATTTACAGGACTTGCGAACCGGAAAGTGTGAAACGGAATGACAAATAGCTTACCAGCAAGTAGAGTTTTTCTGATAGACTGACACATTGAAAAGCATTTGGAAGCTACTCTGTCAAATCGAATGACAAATGTCTTACATGCAATGTGATTTATGTTGACTGGGTGCCGTTGGCTTCTTATCACACGCTAATACTGACATCTGTTAAGTAATCTCAGCAGATATTTTTGAACAATTCACCTGTGAAAATTCACTTTGCAAAACCAGCAATTCTAGTTTTAACTATAATAATTAAGAATTCATAATAAATTAATGGAGATATTCAATTTTTTTAATGGATTTAAAAAACCTTTTAATTTTCATTCCTATTCCTATTCCTATCTTTTTTCATTGAATTTCAACCAGTCTTGATCCATTGACAAAATCCGAATATCATGTGATTAGTTTATTGTATCATCTTAAGAAATGAATGATGAAGATTTAAAGGCGATAACAATTGTTGTCATGAGATTCGCTTTAGTGGACCACTTCGTTCGGTGATTTAAAGTCGTCAATAGTAATGCACTCACTCCAGTGAATATGGTTAACACTGAAGAATTTATTTATCTCAATAAATAACACTCAATGGGAATATGTTGTTTCTAAAGTTAAGCCATTTATATCACTATGACAAATGTTTCATTTTTTAGGTGTATTTAAAAGGTGAATGTCATACAACAAGAGCATGATTAGCCACCATTTTGTTAGGTGTGTTGATGGTCCCATTGTGTGCATTGAGAATGAGCATTTCTACCTCTTCACAGTCTCTTGAAATTATTGAGCTTTGTACTTCAGTAAACCATCGTCTGTTTTGAATGGTCTGGTTCGTAATCCTATTAAATATCAAATTGCGAACTTAAGCCTGAAGGACAAATAACACTTAACCATCACGTTGTAATATCATGAAGTTCGTACTATTGGAAATTCCGTAATGAAAATGATATCAAACTTCACCTATCGTGGTTCAAGATTATCCTCTTATTTTTCGTCATCTCATATGCTATTAAAATAAAAGTAAATTTTCTATACGATTTTATATGCAGAGTGACCAAATACATTTACATGATTGATTTGTTGGTTTTTGTATATCACATGCAACCCAATAAAGTTGTAGACTATTCTTCCCAATAATTGTCAGGCAAGATTATGTCGCATTGTGTAGAGTGTCGAAGGCAGTGAGTTGGGTATTCGGTAAATCTTTCGAGATCATCACAAACATGGTTGTGAATAGACATTGAAAATCTTGCACAATGCTGATAAGTGAAATTCTGTCAAATATTCAACATCGATTCCATTCATAACTCTCAAATTCAAAATACTCTGAAAGAATGAGGCAACAGCATTTGAGAATTTATTTCATGCTTGCATCAGTAACTCGTTTTAATAATTTGGATTGAGTCTTCTGCTATGTTGTAAGCTTTTAACATCCAACGCAACCATTGTTTTTGCTACTTGTAATACAACTTATCAACACATCCAAACTCATGTCTTATGCACAACATTCGAAAGAAATTAACAAACTCACGTGGAATGATTCTGATTTTCACTGTAAAAGTGATTCAATCAAATTACGCAAATTTTAAATGGAATTCACTGATTCTCCTTGAACCAACTTTGTTGGCTTATAAGTATTTTTTGTAACTGAACTTTGCTCAAGTTTTATTTGTAATGAACAATAGAATAAAAACATTTGTTATAAAAAACCGATTTAGCTCTTAGTTTATCCTGAACGAATACATGATATCACATCGAAACGAAAAAGATGGATGATCGTGTTACTCCAATAAGCTCAGTGGATAAATAAAGTCTCTACTGGGTATTGATGTCAGACGGTACACACAATGTTATCTTGTTTAGTCCGTTGACTACATAAACATATCATGTTTCATAAGTTAGTTATTTCTATGGGTTATGACGTCTTTAAAACTCAACCAACAAATAAAGAGTATTTTTCATCCTATGATCAATGAAAAATATATATACCATTGCCAAATCGTCAAGAATGATTCCTATGGGGTATAGAATGTTGTATGAATTGATGAATGTCAATCTCAACCATCCTGTTATTATTAAAAATCTTACTTCTCTACGTTTATGGTTACTGATGTTCGAAATCTGTCAACCCTCAATGAAACATTTTATTCTCATCATCTTTACTTTAAAGCATCATATTATTACAATGTACTTTAACCTGCATTACTTGTCGTGTTCTCATCAATGAACAGTGGATGTTTAAACAATAATACACAGATGCTGTTTTTATTTAAAAAGTGGAAGTCACTAGATGCAAACTGAATTTTTCATTAACTTACGAACATCAGTTTTATGAAGCACAACACTACACACACCGTCTGATGCATTTTTCATATGTCGTGAACGCCGGCGTAAATCAATGAACTAAAATTTAGGACCAAGCACATATATGCATCAACATAAGTTGCCATACATCATAAGCACAACAGGATGAACACCGAATTCATAGAAGCAGTTAGGTCAATGATTGTGACATACAAACATATAGTGTCTTAAGAAGTAATTAGTTCTTCAAAAGTAAAGTATAAAGTCATTTTAATGCCATGGTTTAAGGAAGACAGATAATGTGTACGCTTACGACATCGTGATCGATCCTGTTCCATGTCAACTAGAGTCTCCAACCATCGGATACGATAGTCGCGCAAATCTCAACTAAGTAGTCTCTCAGTGAATAACCTCAGAATTAATTACCTGCTAATCTTGGGAGATGCGAGCAATGTTTCTAACATATCTGTGACCAAATATTACTAAATTTTGGGTATTTTGAACTCTTGATGGTCACTTTTTGCAGCCATAAAAAATAACAAAACGAACTGCCACTAAGTATAGTCGTCCTGCATAACAGAGTGCTATCTCATCTTTGCCATAGGTCATATATGTTGACAAAAGCCTAGCAAGCTTTTGAATCTGTTATGAGATTTCGTTTTATGCCAACACGTTTGAGCTGGTCAGAACTTCAAGTTAATAAGAGCAATGAACGTGTTCGACTGCTGTTTTCCATATCCTTAACTGGGGTACACACTTAGACCATTTCCGAAGCAACTAACAGAATTTAGTAGGACGTACAGCACATTTCAAACATTCTGTCATTGTTGCTTAGTGGTTTGCATTTTATCAGCTTTTTCAACAAACATGAGTATATCATCTACATTTTCGAACTTGATAAGTGGATCGCATTGTAGGAGATCAGAGCTCAAAAATTTCATCGACGAGAATGTTATTTCCATCGGGAGGTTCATGATGAAGTTCAAGAAAAATAGAGAAAGTGGACAGCCTTGACGGACACTACTTGAGGGCGCAAAAGGAGATGACAATTCGCCATATGTTCTAACTCCAAGTGTAGTGTTTGAGTAAAAAACCTTCACAAGGTTTACGTTTTTCAGACACTGCAAACGTTGCTTTTCTGTCAACAAAGACTAATATTTTGGAACGCTGATAAGCAAGTCTGTGTACCGAAATATGACGATTGGGTAATATGCAGTCAATGCAGCCACAACTCGATATGAAACCTGTTTGATTTTCTGATGTTGTCATGTCAAATGTATTTGTTAGGCGTTCGTTAAGCACAGAGGCTAGTATTTTAGATATTATGTTAGCCAAACTAAAACAGTTTACAACTATAAGCATTTTTCTTGTTCACACATTTACAACTTTTATTAATGGTAATAGTTTTTGTTAATATTGTTCATTGATACAAAACACAAACTCTTCAAAGAACACAAAATTTCAGTATGAATTTTAAGTGGATAATAAGTAGACTTTGCAATGCTATTTGACTTATCAATGTTCAAACACTTGAAAACTTATGAAACCTGAAAATAAAAACAAAAACTAACAATACTGAGGATTTGATTGTGTTTTTTCTATTTGATGAGATAAAAGACTTTGATGAAGCAAGACATATATGATTTAGAATACGATGAACATTCATTCATCAATGTTGCTTATTTTGCAATAGGAAGAAAAGGAACGCTACGCTTGTAATATCGATTTCAGGTTATATATTTTTATATTGAATATTTATTCGGTGTTATCAATTTAAAAATAAAAACATTTGTCATTTCAACCCAATTTAAGTATCTATTTTAATAGGTAGTATCACAGTTATAAACTCTTTACGTATTGAGCATGATTATATATACATACAAAACGTTTTTGTTTATATCTTCTTTAAGACGTAATGTAATACATAATTATATGCAAACGTCCTATTATGTCTTTCGGACAAGCAAATCTTTCCATTACATTGAGTCACATATTGACATTGCCAAATATTCACTTATCAACACTAAGCGATTGTTCGTTCATTGCTCATCCTACTAATAAGTCCTCTGCAGTTTATATTTGTCTATCTTTAAATACATGTTAACGCTTGATTATTTAATTGAATGTCATAGAAAGATTAACTGGTTTTATGAGTAACTTAAATTTTATCGGTTCTACTAAATACACACATGTAAGTATGAAATAGATGCCAAAACTGATGATTTCAAGCTTCAATCCCTCTCGTATTTAAACAAATTGATTGTTCAGGAAATATTATTTGTTATCAAAAGGATTCAGAACTCATTTAGTCAATCGGAATTTCGAACCACTCTGTTGTGTGATCGGGTTCTATTAAATGTAATGTACGGACCTACATTGAGCAAAGAAAACAAAACTAAAATCCATCACACAATTCAAGATAGTTTGATATTTATTCGTGAAAGACAGAACTTCCACATCCGAAATTCTCTAGATACATTCATACTGTTTGAGACTAACGTCGTGAGATGAAATACACAACATGTATTTATTGAGCGTAATAACTGAAACAATAAATATTTTCGTCATAGTGTGCGGTCTAGCAACAGCTGATATTTTTAAGCTAAAAGCGTGCTTTTGTGGTTTCGTTTCCGCTCTGAACCCAAAGAAATTGCACGACTTTGTCTTCAATTCCGTTTCCCGAGAAAACTGCAAAAGCAGTTTACAAGTTTTAAAAACTATCCATCCAATTGATAAACATCAAACAGATTACGTGATGAACCGTAAAATGCGCAACTCGTTAGTAGGATATCAAGTGTACTAATAGTGCTAAGAATGAGAAAACTGATAATTCGATGAACAAATGTTTAAACAGCAAAGCGTAGATCCAGAATTGAAAATCCCTAGAAACCAAATGTGTATGTTTCTTCGTAGGCATATGAATAAACAGCAAAAATATAGATATATAACAAAGAAGAGACTTGATTAAATCAGAGGAAAACAAGTAAAAATTGCTAAACGAGTTCATTTATCAATTTTATGATTCTTTAACGAAGAAAGAGATAGGTTAATTGCAAAACGTTGTGTAATTATAAGAATAGACTTGGCTGGCGTGAATACTCATTACCTTTAAAATTTTCAATCGACGGGTTTGAACTGTAACTAAAGAATTTAATTTGAATTGATTGACTATTGCGAAAGGAAAAATGATAACTAACGTTTACCCTAGATAATTACAAATCATGCATTTTGTCGGTAATAATTTATACTATGACCACAGATAAACTTATTACGAAATCAGTATCTCTCATCGCTACAATTGGTGTTTAAATGTTATACACACGTATAGTGAGACTCTCTATTTTGCTTGAAGACTCACATTGCGGTAGTAAGTTGGCTTATTGAACATAAAGAAGAAGCCATAGTTCATTTTTCAAAAAGGGATCAGATCGGTCAACAATTTGTTTCGCCCATAAGGTGAATTGTATTTCATAAATCTAAAAACATTAGGATTTGCATAATTATAGGTAATTCAACCTGATTTTAGTCAAGAGAAAAAACCTTGTAATGCTACACGATTTAATGTTCAAAATTATCGTTAACTCTTTTGTGATGCTTCAGCTTAATCAAATAGATACTGTGAAACAAACCGGAATTTCAATGACCAATTCTGGGAATTCCATGAAAACTTGTTCATTTAGTCATTTATTTATAACACAAGATCAGGCACTTTCGTTATTGAAACTTTTCAAACACTTGGTACATGTTTGTTCAGTTACGCATTTTAAATTCTGCGTGATACTGAATTAAATTGGTCAGTTATAAGTAGCATAGAATCTGAGATACATATCTATTAGTTCTAATTGATACAGTAAATCAGCACATTGTGGTACAATTATCATAGAAAATGTTCACAATAATGAAAAAACCGGCGATGTGAATGGTAGCCGAGAGGATTACACGTTTACAATATGATTTGGGAAAGAATGAATGAGAAACGATATATAAGTACTTGTCCACTAAATCTTCCTTGTCATTCATCAGCCTTTTTACTGGTCAGAATTTAGAAGGTGAGCATGTTAACTCAACGAAACGGACGGAGAGGGCTTCATTATTGTTTAACTGATAGTTGGCTGGCAATAAGAAGGCAGACTGTTCGATCTGAACTTAGTCATGTGCACCGATATCCCTGAAGGTTAATATTCTCAATGCATGTTGCATTATCGGTGCCACGGCTTGAAAGAAAATCTGAACAATGAGCTTCGACTTTCAATTTTACTTCGGTCGATGTAAGCCCATTATTGTGCACTATTTTCA